ATTTTCGATTATAAGTAATAACAATTAGATTATCACTAAAATCTGTTGGAAGAGTTACATCATTGCTTTAAGCTAGATAATTATAGATATTTATACACTAAATGGCTAAGGGAAGCTAACAAATCATACTTTATCCCTAAACAGGACTTTTAAGATACTCTAAGTTATATCCTTCAGGGCACTCACATATTCCTTTTTAAGTATTGGGGAAAATATTTAAATCTGGAAAACAGTTTTATGAACAAGCATTCTGCCATAAATAACTTCCTTCATTACATTTTATGCATGTTTGAATATCGGTACAGGAACTACAGTTTTAGCTGCACTAGAAGCAGATGTTATGAGAATCACAGAAGTATCCATAGCCTTTACCGTTTGAGCAATCGAAATTATTTTTATAAGGATTTCTAACAAGATAATTATACCCTTATTAACATGTACAGGTGTTTGTTAAAGAATCATAAATATAGTTACTACCTACAGATTCACAGCTCTATGTACATTATTTTAAATTAAATAATATGTGTCCACTTTCGCATTACTAACAGCTGCATACTAAGCAATAATTTTAATTAGAATCTTAGCTTTAATTTTTAGTAAGCATACTATAACTTAAAGCTATATTATCACATAGAGAGCATTAATAATTACATATTTAACAATTTTACTTAGAGGAGCTTAGATATGCGTTATTAGGACAAATTTAACAACGTTTTGTAGTTTTATCGATTTGGAAATAAAATTAGTTACATATAGTACAATCTAAATCAGTAGGTCCTGAGCATTCTTTACAAGCTACATTACATTATTTACAATATTTTCCAGAAATGTAATATCCTGACTATTATGAACAAATAACACACTAGTTGGTTTATTCATGAATATGATAACCAGATTAACATAATTCACAAGTGGTTTCATTATTACAATTTTGGCAGTTAGGAATGCATTCAATACAAGAATATCCTTTCAAAAAATAACCTGATTGACATAATTAACAAGTGATTGCATTATTACAATTTTGGCAGTTAGGAATGCACTTAAAACAAGTATATCCTTAAAAAAAATAACCAGATTCACAAGAAGTACAAAGATAATTATTAATTTCACAATTTTTGCATTAAGGAAGGCATTTCTTACAAGCTTAAACTGTTTTATAATATCCATCTAAATTACAATCAGTACAAGAATAATCATCTAATAAAAGATATCGCTTTTCATAACCACAAATCCAGCAATCTCTCTAACGTTTTCCATAACAAGTAACACAATTAGGATCATAACATTTTTCACATTACTTTGAAGAATTTAAAAAATAGTTACCTGCACAATCTGAACATCCACTCTCAAAACATCTTATGCAATTAGGATCATCTTTACAGGAATATCCAATAATCATAGTAATATTTAAAATCAAAATGATAAAAAGTAACATATTTTAGTTAGCTTTTATAATTTTTCTCTTCTCTATTTTCTTTATTAAGTTTTGTTTATATTTTTTAATTAATCTCAAAAATTTATTCTAAAAATAAAATAATGATCTATTCACAAATTAATTACTTTTTGTTTAGCGAAAGATAAAATAAAAAAATATAAATGTTTCAATCAATATTACTTAAATTTGCTTCTTAATAAAAAAGCTAAAAATACTACCTTCTTTTGTGTATTAATTTTTATAATTTGTTAATAATGAAATAAAATTAGTTATAATAATGCTTTTATAAAATGAGAAAGATTTAATAAAATGGTAAATTCACAAACTCCAAAATATTTTATAAAAAAATGTATATATTTCTTGGATACATAGATATTTAGTAATTACATTTTTTTAGTTGATAATCAAAACTAAAAAAAAAAATTTGATTTATAAATTAACAAAACTAAATATTAGATTTCCCTTTTATTTCTTTTTAAGTTTAGGTCTCTGTAAAGATACTCAAAAAAAAGATATTTAAATATTTGATATTAAGTTTGTGGGGTTTAAGAGCAAACAATAATTAATTTGAATTTATTCATTGAAATTTCTGTAATCGCAAATAGAAGGAATGGATAATACTTATTTATTTTATTTCCAAAATTATGTAAACCAAACCAATCACAATCCAAAAACTAAATTTACTTTAATCATTAGATTTTGATTTCAAATATAATCCTTTTTTCAAAATCTAAATATATATATTATTCTATCACTAATACAGAAATATTTTAAACTAATCAAATAATATATTTGATAAAAAGTTCTTTTTTATATCATTTTATTTAATAGAAATTTACTTTAAATCCTATCAATTTAATATTTAAAATATTTAGTTTATCTATTATTTATATTTTTAATATCATAAATTAATTACGTATTCGTTGAAAGATGACAAAATATCAAATTAAATTTTTTTTTTCAATGATAGAAAAGATATTAATCTAAAAACTTTACTTCAGAAGAAATAAGATTACATTACATTAGATATATTACTTTTGTTTTTTTATTTAAATATAAATAAATATTTAAATTATTTTTATATTTTGTTACAAAAGATGCTCTTATTCTAAAGCTAAAAAATGATCCTTAAGAAATAGCAATTATTAAAATTATATTTAATGAATATCTTCATACTAAATCTATGAAAATACAGCGATTCCATGTTATCTATTTTTCTAAACCAAAAGTAAATCTTATTAAATCAATTCTTCTTTGGAAATTAAAAAAATTTTAATGATTACTTTTCTTTTTTAATAATTAAATTAATTTGACACATTTAATAAATTCTAAATAAAGCTTGATTATCAAATATCCTCAAAACCATATTCAAATTTAATGAACAAATTAATTTTTGGCTAAAATTATTAAATAAATCATTGGGTAGTTTTTAAAGTAAGGACTGACTGACTGATTGGAAAGATTAAAGACTAATAAAAAGGAATAAATAAAATAATTATAGCTCATCTTAAGATTAATAGGTTTTTAATATTTGTAAATAAATTGCAAATAATAATATCTAAAATTTATCTTAGATTTTCAACGAATTATTTTCTTTGTAATAGCATTAGCGAATGCTGAGATAGGAGAATTAAATTCATGAATAAGCCTTAAATTTATAATTTTAAATTACATCATTTATTTTTTATAATAATTTTATTAACTACAATATTTGTTTTTATTGAAGTTAAAATCAAATAAAAATAGTAAAATTAATTTTCTAGTAATTTAAAAACAAAAATTATGACAAAATGTTGTTATTAAGCCTTTCATAATTGTTAAAATTAGAGTATTAAAAATAATAAAATAATCCTAACAATTTAAAAATCATAAATAAAATATGAGGAAAAATAAAAATGTTTCTTGGCTAAAGAATGTTTAAGTTAAAATTATATTATAAAATGAAAAAATTTTATTTTGTTTATTTATATATGAAAATATTAAATTAATTAGATAAGTTTAATACTAGATTAAATGATAGAATAATCAATTACTAAATATAAACATTTTATAATTCAAAATTTGTATAATATATCTGAAATAAACATGATAATTTTTCTTTTTTTTCAGTTGTTGTTTTTAAATAATCTCTTTTTTTTATAAAAACTAGATGAACTAACTCTAATATAAGTTGAATTTAACTATGATTTAAGTTATTATTATAAATCTGTACTAATTACAACTTATAGTTCTACTTTCTTCAATTACTTTTCTCTTTTATTTTTTTAATAAATTTTAATAAGATCCTAAATTAAGAATACATATCTAATAAACTGTAATAATGTACTTATTGATAAACAAATAATTGTCAAAATTAGAATTATACTACCAAGTATTTCAATTTTTAATAAAGTTTCATTTGATATTACATCTTCATTAGCAGTATTTTACATTTCTTTGATAGTTATTCCAATAAATATAAATAATACACTCACCATTATTTCTTAAAGCACTTTTATTATTGTTATTATTTTACTTTTAAAGAATCTAAAGTATAATAAATATAAACTACTAACTCCATATACTACTATAGATATTATAGCACATTCTAATTGTTTCTAAAATAAGACAAGAAATGAGATCACAACAAAGTATTTCTTAAAAAAAGAAATTAAAATGTATGATTTAGATCCTTTCATTCTAAAATCGATATCACCATAAATATTTGGAGATTTTAAGACTAAGTAATCACCAGGTTTCTTATAAAGCAAGCAAATTAAAATTACAAAGAAAAAGCAATAAGGTGAAATTTAAAGCATCAAAAGAAAAATATTCTCACCACTTAACCAGCAATAACAAATTGAAAAAACAATAGCTGTTAAAGATGATTAAATGTAATTGCAGAGGAAATTAAAAACCAGTGTATATTATTAAAGTTGTGTACTACTTTCCTTTCAGAATTTTCCTAAAAAATATGCAGTAAA